AATCTAAGCAATTTTAGGAAAATTAGCATAAAATCTTAAATTTTGTATTTAATAGGGGTAAAATAGACCCCATATTTAAAGTTTAAGTGATTTTTTTAACCTTTGTTAGGAAGGGTTAATTCGAAATAAATTGAAATATTGTATTAAAATGTATGCAGATGATTATTAAATTCATAAGAAATTCTCCAAATATTAAAATAAAAAATTTTAGGAAAGTAATGAAAGAAAGAAAGATCACTTAATTAAAGTAATAAGTAAGAAAGAAAAGAAAGATTTTATTAAATTCTTAAGAAATTCTCCAAATATTAAAATTTAAAGCTAAAATATTTAATAAAAAATATAATTTTATATTTTTTAAAAAAAATTTTAATTTAAAAAAAAAATTCCAAAAAAAACGTGGGGATTAAAGATCTCGAATCCCCACGTTGGGATTCCGAATCCCACGAGATTCCATATCACAATACGACATATATATATCTAATTATTTATAAATTGAATATATATTGATTTTGAATTGGTTAAATTAAAATAAAATATAGTTTTTGGAAGTTTATATACTCTTTTTTTTTAACTTGAAATAATCTTGTTTGGGCAATTGGGTAGCAATATAAATTTTAAATATAAAAGTTACAACTTTAACATTAGTTATTTTTGAATTATTATTTGAATCAAATTATTTAAAATACATACTATAAACATGTTAAAATAAGAATTCAGTTAAGATGCACCATGAAATATTGACAATCATCATGATCTTTATTGTTGTGATAATTGAACATATTTTTTGTAAAACATAATTTTAATATTTGTTTTATTATAAGTTACATTAAAATTTATATTAATAATTATGGAAGACAATAGAAATCGATGTCTAAACAAGCGGTCTTAGAAGAAACGAAGACACGCACAAATAATTTTGAATTGTTTATCGTTTGCTAGCAATGGCCGATTGTTTACAGAGATGATAAATTGTCAAGAACTTCAAGCTGATATTACAAAAAACTATGAAGAGATTAAAAATAATCGATAATTGTTACAAACAGTCATTAAAAGTTACGAATACATAATAAAGGATAGCCGCCGTCAGAAATTAGAAGACACAAACGAGTAAAAATAGAGCTGATCTGAACAGGCCTTCGGGTAATAAATGAAAAACGTTAAAGAATAAAAACGAGCTTCTAAGTTTAAAAGTCCAAATTGAAATGGACTAATTGTTTTTTGAATAACTAGTTTGGGCTAATTAAAGTGGAAGATTAATGTGATAATTAAAAATATAATTCGAATATTTGTTTTGTTATAAGTTATAATTCAAATTTATATAAGTAATTATGGAAGTATTGTTGATATTAAAATAATTCCAATTATAATGAAATATACATTTTATATTATCTAATTCTAAATCTAATTTAGAATAAACTTATTTTATAAATATATTTACCAGAGCCTTTTAATCTTTTAGCTAAAAGAATTTATAAACAATATATATTTTTTTAGATTAATGGTCAATATTTTATTGGAGGTTTTATGACCACTTATTGCAGTTCTTTGAGTATATAAAAATTGTTTAGTGATATATCTTTGGGGAAATAATGTTGGAGAAATTTATTTATTCGTTTAAAATGATATTTACGAACGGACACATTTCCGAAGAAGAAAAATGTTCCCATGTCTTGCATCCTTTGCAACGCCTTTTAGCTTATATTTTTAAAAATTTTTGGTTCCCAATAAATTTGGGTTTGCGATGTTATTTCATAATAAATTAAATTTGTTGAATCTTAAGGCTTATTTATTATATGCATTATTAAAAATTTTATGCTTAATATATTAAGCCATAGATGTCCAGAATTTTGCTAGGAGGTGGGGAGGAGGGCACTATTAGGTGGGGTTTTTCCAATAATTTATAATGGAGGTCATTTGGTTTTTAAAAAAATTGGAATTATAGACATAAGATAATATTTACGAGAAAAGACAAATTTTAGAACGGGATGTGTATCCCCCCTCCTTTTGGCTACGCCTATATCATCAAGTGTTATTTTTAGAGGTAAATAATACTTATTATCTATATAAAAGGATATCTATTACTTGTTGCTCTTTCTTTAATTTGTGACACTAAATAAGTTATAAAATTTTTATATATTATTTCTATCTATATTTAAAAATAAACTAGTGATAAAAGTAACAAACTATTTTAAAAAATCCATAGGAAATTTAAAAATAATTAAATATTATATTATAATTTATTAATTTTATCATGCTTTTAAAAACTTAAGATAAAGTTATTATTAATTTTGGAAATTGTTTTCAATTTGAAAAGCAAATTGTTGTTAAATTATTTTTATTTTAAAAAATTTGGTGTTCATGTTCCCCGTTATAAAAGACAAATCATGTCATAGACTCATCAGAAATGTGCTGAACTGGGTTTATTAACATATTTCTTTTGGGTTAAACACAAGTCAAATTAATGTAATTATATTCAATATTATAATTATGACATAAATAAATTACATTAAGTAAAATAAATTTAATCAAATATTAGAATTTTGAATATAAACTTTTCAATGATTTAACGCTCAAAATATTTTTTTATTTTTACAATTGAAGTCTTCACTTATTTTCTCCCTTTAAAGATTAATTTATTACACGAATTATTTATTATTCACTTTATTTATTTCAAAATATATTTTCATAAATCAAATCATCATAATTATCATATTTAAAAGTTCAAACTATATAAAATTTTTTAAATAAATTCTACGAAAAATAATAATAAAAATTCGAAAATTTTATGATCAATAATATTAAAATTAAAATTCTTAGAAATTTAAAAACAAAAATTATCATCGAAATTGAAAATATAAAATGATATCTATTCATACAAAAATAATATTAAATAATTCCTGAACATATAGCGCTAATGTTATAATTCTTTTATTTAATTTATTAAACTTGTTTTAAAAAAAATAATTTTGAATTTGTTATTAAAGTTTTGAATTAATAACGTTGTTTAAAATGTTGTTGATATATCAATAATTTATTATTAAAAGTTGTATTGGTAATCATGTCATTGATTATAAATATTCATCGAATTTAATGGAAAATTTAGTGAGCAAATATTTGAAATGGACATAACAATACTTATTTTCTGACCAAACTCAAATAAAGAGTTAGTAACATGATACAAGATATATTTTCGTTTAGGCCAAAATATACTAGAACATTCTAAGTGTCTAATATATAAATGTAAAAATTATGCCAAATTATAATATTTTTAAGGTGTAGGCGTTTAAAATCTCGAAATTCTTTATCTTATTACGTTCAGTTTTTGACTTGATATCTTTTACTTTGACATATGCTCATTTATTCATAGATGTCAAATAGCTCTGGCATAACCTTTCATTAATCATTAATATCTACAAGAAAATACAAACAATTTATAAAGTCAATACCTATACCTAATAACTATAATGGTAATGAATTTCATAATATAAATTTACTTAAATGGTGATTAATATCTGATATTTATAATACAACAAAAAAATAAGAATGCTTCAGTCTAAAATGTTTATAAATAATGACAAGTACAATGAGCTATACTGGAGGTTTTAAGAAATATGTTAGATTATATATATGACACGACTAAATTTGGAATACTTATTTATATACACATATTTTTAAATCTAATAACAAAAAAAATTGAAATTTAAATTTCCCTAAAAAAGAATTTTGCTGTTCGAGACCCACGACAGACTCAGATTGGATTCAGACTAATTGATGTAGGACTAAAAAAAATTTCAACAAAAATTATCAATTAACAGTTTTAAATAGTATATTGGAGATCTGAAAAATGAAAATTTTTTTAGTTAGAGCGAAGTCAAAATATTCCATTAAATTTTTCCTTTTTACTATAAAATATGGTATGAAAATATTAAATGATTCACACTTTTTTAAAAAAATTTCTTAATTATTTTAAATTTATCATATAAATGATATGTCTAATTTTGTTTTTTTTGGATCATTTTATATTACATTTAAGATAATAAATATTTTTATTATTTAAATTAACCTTAATGTTATATAAAATATCAATTATTTTTTTATGAATTACTCTTAAAATTGCATAAGTTATAATTAATAATACATACCTAATATAATCATTTACCATTAATTTATATTTTTCCATGATATATTGTAGATTTGTATTTATTACCTAATTTCTATTCTAATATGTTTCTTCACAATAAAAATGACGTAAAATCCATAAAACCAATTTCAAAAATTTAAACCTTTTCTGCCCCAATGCCCTCCCCCCCTAAGGAAAAATTCCTAATTTTGACCCTGTTTGGAGATCACTGATAATTATATTGATTTTAATAAATATTTAAGTCAATAATATTATACACAAAAAAAATATATAAGTGATAATTTAAATTAACATACTTAATTTGTATAAGCCTTTTATATTTTTATTAAATTGAATTCAAAATGATTTATGCATATCAAATTAATTAAAAATTATATGAAACTATTTATAAACAATATATTTCAATATAATAACTACAAATTTTTTTAACCCTAATTCACTATGGGTCTTTTAGACACATGTACATGGAACAATTTTCAAAATATTCATATCAATTTTATTGTTATTAAAATTAGGCAGATTTTTAGTTTTAACAAAAATAATTTTCCAGGTCTATTAGACTCATATTTAATAGCAAGATTATTTTTTCATTTTAGAAAAAAGAAATTATATATTTATCCAAATAATTTAAAAAAAATTCTATTAAAGTTGATTCTGATAAATTTTTTATTAGTGAAATGGTAATTTTTTTAAAAATATATAATGGAGAATGATGTTGAATTAGGATATAATGCTTTTGACTATAACCCTGCCTATTAAAATAGGTAAAAGATTGTCATTTTTAATTTTCAGAAAAGATTTAGTCAAAATATAATTCAACACATGGCCTAAGACGAGTAAAAAGCAAAATTACATTTTACAATTCCTATAAGTCAAGACCAAGAATATGTTGTCCAGGTATTGTAAGCAACTTGATGGATTGTTCAAGGATGGACTTCCAGAATAAGTTAATTTTTTAATTTAGCCACCCTAAAAATTGTAAGCCCCATATCTTGGACTAAGCTTTCCAAACTAAATAAATTTACAGGAAGGTTGGTTGATCTTCCCCATGGCATGTTTTAATTGAGTGCCTTATTTTGAAAAATAATCTATTTTTTTAAGACTTAATTTAGGAGTTATTATTGATTAAAATATTATACGTATACTACTACAAAATAAATTTCATGAAGAATTTTGTAAAAGTAAAATATTTGTAGATTTGTATGAGTTAAAATAATAGCTAAAAGGGGATAAAATATATATTATATAGTATTCTTTAATTGACTATACATTATTGAAACGATTTTTGTTTGATGAAAGTTAAGATATACAAATATTAAATTAATAGAAGAGATCTACCCTTGACTTAATATCACATATATTTATAAAATTTGTCATATACGTTTGCCATAATTAGCTTAAGTTCTAATACAATATTTCCTTCTCTCTTAGAATCAATGTCATTTTTTAAAATTAATTTTTAAAAAAAATTGTTGCTGTATCGTATCTAATAATATGTCTGCTTCTGAATAAATTTCATCCTATTTTGCTATTTCAGTAAATGCATTTATAATAGGTTCTTCTAACTTCATAAATGTAATGATTAGTTGGCGAAGGCTCCAACTCGTTGGACTCTATCATACCCATATCCATGTAATAAATTTGTAATTAGCAAAAAAATTGGAAATATTTTTTATCAAAAGGTTTATTTTTACCTTCAATTTATTAGGATTTTCAAATATCACACCAGCTATGGTTAACCGTAATTTTTAAAATAAGAATACATTGTCGAAACATTTTCCATAATTTTATTATTCTTGATATATAATATATGATGCATAAAATAGTACCTGTTTACTGCAATATTTGTGGTTTCATAAGAAAAATAGGGAAGTCAGAATTTAGATGCCGATTATTTTTTTCATTTTCTTTTCAAGATTCTCAAATATTTTGATGTATTTGGTTGGGATTTTGGCCTATTATTTCGCCTAAGAAGCACCAATAAATAGCCATTTTTCATATCTTTTTCTATTAAGACATTTCGTTTGTAGCTTATTCGCCTAATGACCGACAATGGGAGCCATTGATCCTATTAGTAATAATAATCGCCAAGCCAATAAGTACTAAAAAGCGCTAATAATGCCAATAAACGCCATTGAGTTGTTATAAGCGCGAATGAGTAATAATAATCGCAATGGTGTAAATATATTTGTTATTTTTTTTATTTAAATGTAGATTAAATAAAATATGAAACAACAAAAATATATTTTTATAATAAAATTAAAAGATCGACTATTTGCATTCCCAAAAAGGACCCATAGTTATATTGAAATATTTCCAATTGTATTTTTTGTCTTACTTTAAAAGAAATTCCTTACCCTCTTTGATAAAATATATTTCTAGGCCTAGGGCTTTTAAAAAATAAAATGTTTTAGGCGAAAATTGGCTATTTGTGGAGATGACTATAAGAATAAATATAAATTTACTAATATCTTTGTCTTTATTGATTTTTTCTATTTCAGCTAGAGCTAAAGGATTACCTTTGGTGTTAGATGGGTTTGATATAACACAAAAAATGCCATATTAAAGATTGAATGAGGTCTCATATAATTGTAGTAATTCGTCAGGCCACTCTACATGGGATAGGTTAGTGAGCTAATGGGTAGGTATTTGAGTGGATGTACATTTATATATGACATGATTTAATGAAGGGTGAATTGATGTCGTTACTGACTATATAACCAGTTTAAATTTGTTGTCCTTTTGAATTTACTATAATATCATATTTGACATAAGTATGAGGGTAGACGGTGTGGTGATTGTAACTCTCAATTGTTATAAGAGATTAGTAAAGATCTACTAGGGCTTCTAGTAATTCGTGACCATTAAAAGAGAAATATATCTAAAAATATAGGAATCTAAAGGTATTTGCGAATTAAGAATGGGTACTAATATGCTAATAAAAGGGATAAGATATGTTCCAAGAAAGGAAAGCTTCCAAATAATTTATTAGAAATTCTTCTGTCTTGAGCCTAAAACGGTTATGTGTCCTGTAAAACTATTTTGGATCTAACCATTATAGGTGTAGTCGGTTGTTTAAAGAGCAAAGTTCTGTTTAATTTATATTAGATGTGAGGCTATAGGAATAAAAATTTGTTTTCAAATTACATATAAATTCTTTAAAAATATTTTCAAAAAAAATCTTAAAATTTTGGAATAAATCTTTGAATATTTTGTTTTTTAAATATTTTGCGATTTTATCGTGTTGTTCGTGAAAATTATAAAAGGTTTACTCATATAAACATATTTGAAATTCGATTAAATTACGTATTCCAACAAAATAAAGAGGCACTAATGATCTCATTGAAATAACCTCTTGAGACAGGATTGTTGTTAAAATTTTGATGAGATGACTATTAGAAGGATTTTTAATACTTGTTATGTTATTGGAGATAATATAGTCTGAGATCATCGAGCCGCTTGCTAATTTTTTACTGATAGAATAGAAAGCTTTGAAGATTTTATCACTAGCAATAATTAATATATGATTGTTTGGTGGAATAAGTATATTTTTTGTGGAAGTTTTGCCATAACATTGCTTGATTAAGTCATTGCAATGATTCTTATAGGATAGTTTATTATCTGAAGATACAATTATAATTTCCCGGACTATATTGCTTTTATTTATTTTGTTTTATTTTGATCTTATGGTGTTTATTATCTGCTCGCATTTTGTTATCAAAAGTATAATCTGTCATTTCCTTTACCACAATAGTAGGGCTTTGTGATATTAAATAAACTTTGTTTAAGAACCCTATGCAAGAGGCCAACATTTTACAATTTCAAAGTTGCAGATAACTATTCAAATTAATATTCAAAAAATGATTATTATAATTGTTACTTATTATCTTAAATATGTATATAATTGTCATTTTTGTTATCTTTTATTGGTATTCATTGACGCTTATTAGCTCTTCTTAGGCAAAAAAGTAACAGGCGAAAAGTCTTAGGAAAAATCTATAGGCAAATAAGATCTAAGAGAAAATACTATAATCGAAAAGTTTTTGGCAAAAAAGTAATAGGCGAATAATCTAAATGACTATTTATTGGCCCTCCTTGTAAAATGCTATAAGCAAAATATCTTTAGCGAAAAGCTAGAGGCGAAATGGTCATTTATTGGTAGACGAAAAAGCTTTCCTTCCTTCCTTCCTTCCTTCCTTCCTTCCTTCCTTCCTTCCTTCCTTCCTTCCTTCCTTCCTTCCTTCCTTCCTTCCTTCCTTCCTTCCTTCCTTCCTTCCTTCCTTCCTTCCTTCCTTCCTTCCTTCCTTCCTTCCTTCCTTCCTTCCTTCCTTCCTTCCTTCCTTCCTTCCTTCCTTCCTTCCTTCCTTCCTTCCTTTCCTTCCTTCCATCACTTCTCCCGCATTTATAAAACATAATATTTTTTTAAAAAAATTGTAAGGTACTTGACCAATATTATAACCAATTTTATATTTAAGCATTGTATTGATTATTATGTTATAAAATTAATATTATAAATGTTTTAATTTTAAACTTCCCATTCGCTGCCCAGTTAATTTTGAAAGAAGTTTTTGAAAAAATTATTTATAATAACACCACTATCGCTTAAAACATAAATGTTAATTTTTTAGAGAAATAAGAAAGGAATTTATATTATAAATATTAATGAATAAAAAAATAGATATTTAAACTAGCAACATGTTTCGGATTGTTCTGAAACTTAGAAAGAAGCGAAAATAGTTCAAGAACATAAAAATATAATTCTTGTCCAAAGGAAATTTAGACATTATATTTTGTATATTATTTATATGAAATCTTATAACTTTATAATTGATGTCTAATAATTAGCGCTATAAAATTTTTATATTATCTATTTAAATTTATTCATTATGTCGTAAATGACTAATATCATTAATTTTATAAAATGCTTAAAAATAATATAGCAAAATAAGATAGATAAAAAAAATTATTATTACCTAGGCCATTCCATTGATTAACTATTTATTACAAATAATATATTAACATGTAAAAATTTTATTTGGATAACATATTAATTATTTTAAGCAAAGTTACCAAGATTATTGAAATCTTTCGCTTGAATATTGTAAAAATAATATATCAATAAATATTATAATTTATCTGTATTAATTTCATATTATATCATCGGAACATATTTTTAAACATAATATATTAATTAGTTTCCAATTATTTTACATTTTTTAGGATAATAGTAATTTTTCCTGTAATAACCTTTGCTTAAATTTTGAGATACATCTCAGAAATATTAAAATATTATGCGATATTGGAAAATTATAAGATAAAATTTTGGTACCCACATCTGGTGTTTTGTAAAAGGTCAGAACGCGTTTGGACCTTAATCCCATCTCGTTTTACCCCAGCTGTTTAATGGGTCCCGTTTTTTGAAATGTGTTTAATCATAACATGAAAGATATACCGATATTTTAGTATAATTTATTAAATAGGTAAATTAATTATATAAATTATTTATTGCCCCAAGAAATTATTCACAATAATTATATAAATAAATAAATATCTTTATATCAATAATCAATTTATGGTAAATATAATGGCTGTTGGTATTCTGGAAAAAACGTGATTCCATATTAGTATACACTAAACTTATAATATGATTTTATATGAGAGCTATATAAAACAAATTAATACAAATGTGGAATATTTTTTACCTCAAGGTTGATTGATACAAAATAAGCAGCAGGTTGTAAAATTCGGTTAAATTTATTGGTATTTATTTTGTGGAAACAGGAATAATTGATCTGGAAAGTCTTTCTGTTGAAAGCTTTACAAATTGCATTTTAAAAACAATTAAATAATTCAAGATTAATTCATAATATATTAAGCCAGGTGTATAATGATGAAAATATAATATATAGAAATGGAGTAGTACAAAATTTATTCCAAAAAAATTTA